ATTTTGTAAAATAAAAAATTGTTTAATGTAAAATATGAAAAAATGAAAAGTTTATTTTGAACGGATAGTAAAATATTTTTAGGCCTTGAGTAAAACAAGTTTCGACTTACTTTACTTGCTCATAAATTAATCTATTTACTTTTTATTTTCTTGTTACAAAAAAAGTTCTTGTTACAAAAAAGTAGAAAAATCTAGAAAAAAGACTTTGATATTACAGAGTTATTAATCATTCATATTCCGCATTATCAATATAAATTCAGGAATCAAGAAGAATTATCGAATAAAATTACAGAGAGTTACAAACAAAATATAACAACAATTAACGAAGGTTCAAGCAATTATTAAGATGTAGATGAGTAGATCTAAATCAATTTTCCTTTATTAAAAAAAAAAAAAAAAAAAAAAAAAAAAAGAATTATATTACATTTCCTAGAAATTTTTTTACATGTATTTTACGATATATATACAAATTTTTGGCACGTTCTTTTCTTTGCATTTCGACGTGAAATGTGCTGAGTTATCCTCGCGTATAAGTAGAATGGTGAAAATCCACAGGGATTTATTTTGGAGGGAAGATTTTATCCATTGGCACGCGACTAAACACTTCGTTGCTGAGTTTGGTGAAAACTTGACTGAACGTTTCTTCATAGGGGGCTTGGAGTTCTTTGAACAGCAGGTCGGAGTTTTCATTTATAAAACGATTCAGCTGTGTTCCTATGAAAAGAATAATTCAAGTGTTAAGTGTTTAATCATTAAATTCCTGATGAAATTAATCTAATTTATTAACTGACAAGTTTTAAGGCCTAAAATCAGATTTAACGAAACCTAACCTAGCACAAAATTCATGGAGAGGAATATTGCAGGAACTGTGACATTGATGCAAAAAGCAAATGCATTTTTATGATTAAATTAACAGGAAATCGACGATATTGAAAACGCTAGAGGTTACAAACGATATATTATGTTTTTTTTTTGTTTAAAATGATGCGATAAATTGATAACAAGATAAACAAGATTTCTTTCTTCGTGAGCGGCATAATAAGTATAATTATTCTAATTTATTTGCAAGTAACGATTCTAAGAAATGATTTCCGCGTAATAATTCGCGTAAAATAATATGTTGGTATTTCCTATTTAGGAATATATCACATGTGTTTATAAAAAATTTAATGTAAATGATTAGAGCACAAAAACTTGTAGCAAAGAAGTTGAAGTAGCAAACACTTCTTTCATATTCACTGTTATTACTGTTATTACAATAATTATAGTTTCTAGAGATTAATTGACATGCATTGGGTAAGTGGTAATTGTATAATGATTGTTTTAATAAATACCTAGAACCTTGTCACCATTGAACAGGTTGTCGAAGTTCAATTTGACTCGGTCAGGATTGAATGTCACTGAATATTTCTTGATTCTCAAATAAGTTTCTCCGTCCTTCTTGTATGGCTCGCAGGACAATTCATTATGTGATTTCAAGCCGTCTAAATGTTTGAACAATCGAGAAACACAAGATAAATACAGATGTGTAAATACAGTAGTTATTGGGAAAAGCACATTAAGTTTAAAATTAATGTAAGATATAAATGAATGATAACAGTAATATAAACAGTAATATAAACAAATATAAAATGAATAATATAAACAAATATATTTACACATGGTGATGTTCGATTTTCCAGATCCTTTGACAGGCAACAGTAATACTTTTCCATCGAGCTTGTAATCAGCGACGAAATCCACTTGAGGATTGAACGAGTCTGATGTTAATAGGCATCCATTATCCAGCTCTAAGCTAAAAAAAAAAAAGAGAAAAACGAATGTTAGATTTATGTAACAACTTTGCTAAGAAGAAGTATTTATTCATACGTATTTTGCACATTCTCTAATAATACAATCTGCTAAACTTTTTTTACGTATGTCCAATTTTTGATAATTATATTGTTGTTTTCCATATAAACGGCAGATTTGTAATAAGTTCTTTTGTTAGTTCAATTTCTCAGATAAACACTCGATAATTCGAATCCAACTTAATTTTCGACCTGGCATTTATTCTTCTTTTTTGTTTGTATCCGTCTGATTCTTTCTCCAAACATATAAGTTCTCTCTTAAAACCATATGTAATCGCGATTATTTTATTTGATTAAACTTCTTCTTTGTCAAATGTTCAATGTCGCGCATAATAGACTTTTTTTCCGAATAATAGATCTATTAACAGAATTTTATTTTTTATTTACTTAGTGAACGTCAGGAAAAAAGTTCGATTTTGTATGTTGTATCTAAAGGAAAGTATTTTTGAATCTTTGGAAATTAGTCTATCTAATTACAGAGGAACAGAGTAAGTGTCCGTCAACTTACTGATGATTGTGGATCTCAAGGTCCTTCGTAAGGCCATATAACTTGATGTTCTTATATTCCTGCTTCAGGCTAACCGATCCTTGCAATCCGCCGATTTTCACGCTGTCCACCGCCAGTGGTTCGATCGGGAAAATCTTGAAGCTTTTTAAGCCTGCGCAGAAATTTACACTTTTAATTTCCCCCTCGAAACTGATTAATCCAAAAGAAAGTTTTCTATTAAAAACCCTATAAATAGGAATTTAGGAATTTATCTTTACGAAAACGAAGAAAAGAAACTAGAGATAAATTCTTTCAGTCGCGCAATCTATTTTAATATTATAAGCCAACCAATGGATACGAGAAACGATTACATAAAAGTTCTTTGCAGTTGCGAGTAATAAATCAACAAGTAATAAAAAAAAAGCACTCGGCGCGTTGAAAAGCATGGATGCAATTATGAAGTCACAGTGATAAGATAGAAATAAGAAATAATTGATGAGATTATGGACGTTTTCTTCACTGATTTTAAGAGAAAATAAAGTCGTATAAAAATTTATTTTTATCGTAAAAAGTAATTTTTTCACTTCACTTCACTTCAGAAACTGTTGCTACAATTTTTCACGAAGATTTTTAACAGGAACAATGGAAATAAAGATATTGAAAGTTTTAACATCGACTGTTCGTGTATATTCGAATAATTTGAAGGACCTTGTTGAAATTATTATACGCTTCAAAAATTGTGCTTAGATTTAGAGCTGTTAAGAGTCCAATGACTTATGAACCAGATAGTACGTATACAGATACACACGTGTATGAATTTTGATCGGGGGCCCAGAAAGCGAAGGGACGGTCAACTCGAGTCAAGGAGAACGTCTATAAATTACCACATAATATTGTCGGAGAAACTAATGCCAGTTTCGAGGAAACGCAGCGTGCATTTGCTCCGATGAAATCAACGGGGGATCATGCGCACCGATTATCGACAGAAATAAAAAGTAGGAATGGATCGAAGTCTGTCTCGATCGATTCTCAGTTTAAAATCTCAAGTTTTCGAGATTTCTTGGAACAAAGAGATATTTTTTTTTCATTTTCAAAATTGACGAGATGACCCCTGAACTCCTCTTCCTTTTCATTTTTAAAAACTTTTTTTTTTTTGGAAGTAACACAGTACATTTTTATTTTTACAAATGGAATCAAAGATAAGAAGGATGAAAAGAGTGACCTTTGAGTTTGAAATAGGAAGTGGAGGAATTTATAACTATGAATCATATTCGTTTATTGATGTAGGTTCTTCTCTTCTATGAAGAATCGGTTCTGCGAAAAACTGCGTTTCTAGAACTGAGTGTTGAAATACGAAAATACAAGAACGGAGGAGCAGGTCCGCAGATTTCAAAAAGAAAATAGAAGGAACACAAGTGGAAGATGCAATACAGATACACTAGCCTGTCAATGAAAAGTAGAGACCACCAGAGAGATTGGTTGTGAAATGGTTATATAATCGTGCAAATAATAAGAATACATATTCAACGTGAACTTTATGATTCTGCGGTAATGATGATAATTCAAATTTGTTGTCGGACGTACGGGAAGTTCATCATTCGTTTATCACCTTACAATCCTTCGCGTCGCCGTAGAAAGAAATATTTAATAGCGTGGTTTCTTTCTTATTTTTGACAATTCGTTTCATTGAAACAAATTGATCTTTGCGATAGGAACTGAAAAATTCTCACCTCCAGCCAACGAAACCACAGCATCTCTAGCAGCCTTGTCTAAGCACTTGCTAAACTCCTCTTCAGACAGTGATCTGCTGCATACCTTCCAACTGTTTGCTGGAAAAAAAAGATAGGAAAGACGAAAAACATAGGAATGAATATGTAATATATATACAAAGGTTAAGAATGAGAAAAGTTAAAAAAAAAAAAAAAAATGTTGCATGCAATAGTTATGTAAACGGTCATTGCGTTGCAGTGGATCCAATAAAGTGCAACACCCGTTACAACAGCCAAACTGAAGCTCGGAATTGACTTTCTCTTTCAGATCGTGTCTCCGTGAACTGTAATGGTTTTTAATTGGATCGACCCGTGGAAATCTGGATTGTTTCGTTGCCAATGCAATGTAATGTAACAACTTCGTTGTTTGTACAAATTTTTTGATACAAGTTTTTCTTCAATCTCTTTGGATTCAATGAGTAGTGCGACGGTGGAGGAAAGAAAATTTAAAATGGCTGCTTCCATATTTCGTAATTTATCATTGATATCACCAAACTTTTTTGTACCTGACTTACATCTGACTATGCATGACTTACATTTGATTTTTAATAATGGTTAGATGGTAACTAATTTCTTTTTTATATTTTTATAATAGTTATAATTCTTATTAAGGGTAGATCATATGAAATTTGTTTAAACAGAATAGTTTAGACAGACAGCTTGATGATTTGTTTATAAAGAAAATTGTTTTACAGTATTTCATAATTCTGAAAAATACCAAAGACACTTACGCAGTTCTACAGCAATGACTATCGTCAACGATATCACTACTAAACAGAATTTAATCATTGACATGTTCCGCATGATTGCTCGACTCGAGGATTAATTAACAACTGGAATAGGCTTTTCTTCGGATTGAAAATTTCTTGAGACAGCTGAATGTGAACTGAAAGAAACGGTCATTGATGCAGTCTATTTAAGCAGCAGGATCGCCCCACTACTTGTCTGGTCAAGTACGCGTACCTCAGATTATGGAAAAAAAAATCTTTGGAATAATATGCCAGAATATACAACTCACCGGTGACACATGAGATTTAATGGAGATATAATGAATAGAAAAATTAACAGATTGCTGCCGAAGGAAATCTTTCATCTAAATCGCTGTTCATTGTAACATTTTTTTCTTTTCTCTTCTTATTTTTCATTATCATCTTCTAATATTTATCAGTGAAGAATTTCTCAATTGTTGCTCTGTTTGTTAATTTTTCTATTCTTAGTCTATATTTTGATTGTCAGCGTATAGTTGCTATTTCATCCTCTCGTTGAAAGTAAAAATATTATTTGCATACACACATCCTTTATCTTTTTACATTTTTATCGCGGTTCAATTCCTTTTTTGGTATTGAGTTTATATTAAGAATTTTTTTAAAATTTTTATAAAATATTACATCCATTAATCAAACTTCAAATTTGTTAAATACATATTTAATTCTCGAATATGAAATATTAAACGATCATTCTCGCATTATGTTTTTATTGGAGATGAAACAAGTATATCTGGTTTCATCACAGTATAAGATGTTATTTTACATCTCTTCAGATGTTTCTTTACCAACACTCAAATTTTTTTTTTGTCATATATTAAATTCATATTATATATTCATCACAAAATAAGATTTCAAAACATTTGAATGCTATTTAATGCTATTTCATAAAAAGAAGCGAACACTTTTATACTAACAAGACATATCATAGTCATAGTCTTTGTTTCTAGAGTGGTGCAAGTCTCATAAAAAGAATGTCAACGTACTCGATGGATGCTAAAATTTTCCATTTATCTCTGTCTCGAATGAAGTATTGAAGAGAAAAGTCTCGCTGACTTTCAAGCTGGCGGAAACTGAGACGGAATTGTTCGAAGAGAACAGCGGCCATTTAGGAGAACAAAGGGAACAACAAGAAGTTCTGAAAGGGGTTCGCATCGCTATTAAAAGTCATCCTGTATGCCAGCCTTCCCGCTTGGGAAGAAAGAAGAGTCGAAAATATGTTTGTTGAATATTATAAAATATTCAAATATTCGGAAATCTGTTTCTCAACCATTTCTTCAAGTCGCTATAAATTAGTTAGCTGTAGACTTAAAAAGAAAAAAGTTCGAAACCCGGTTGGATAAAAGTTATTTTCATTAGCGATATATATTAAGGAATATACGTAAAGATGGATGATGACGTATGTTGGGGAGATAGTATCGCGGAGAGGGTTTTCGATTCAAAGTTCAAAAGATAGGTTTTAATAGAATTTTAATACTTTTCGTTCTTAAAAAGTTCGAATCTTTTTATCAAAGTTTACATTACCAGTTCGTCACGTAGACGGTAGAATTACTTTCGCATTTGGAGAACACAAAGTGTTATTTATTTTGTCATTATCCTCCTTAACGCGATTCATTCTTAACAGAAACGTGCTACCGATCACTTCTTCAATCTCTGACGCAGAACGATATGGTAGATACGTACAAATACCCATCATTATGGTCATCATTAGCATTATAGCTGAATGATCGAGAAACACATTCGTAAACAATATGTCCTTAATACAATGTAAATGATTGATTAAATGTGCACGTGGATTTCTCGAAGATGACTAAGATTACGTGTTCACGGTCATCGAGGATTATCTTGAGCCTTCGCGGTTCACTGATCGTGAAATCGGCACAATTTTTATTCCTGGATACATTTTTATATTCGTTGAATATGAAATGTGAAATAACTAACACTATTACTTATACACACGATAATTATTACTGTTTCAATTGCTCGTTATTATTGGCGACTGATAAAAACAATTACAGTTTACAAGAAAGCTAATATTTTTTTGACATTTTGAAGATGGAGAAATATTTAGAGTTTTGTCGATTAGTTTCTTAGTTAATAGTTAATTATAAATATTCTTGTGATGAATGTAATATTCATTGTATCTCGACTTTTTTCCAATCGTTATTAAAAAAATTTTTTACAGATATTCATGTCTCGACTGTAAGTTTTCATATTTTTATTATGATAAATGCACATTCGTTAATTCTTTTTATCTTTGTTCTTAAATTCTAAGAATCAGTTGCAAATTAATTTAATTGGTATGATTTAACGAGCGGCTTATTTTGTATGTAAATCGATTCAAAAAACTGCGTGAAAAAGTAGTAAAGTAGAAGATATACGTCATGAGTAATTATTAATGGCTACTAAGTTTAGTTTAGGACTAAAAAGTAGTAAAGTAGAAGATATACGTCATGAGTAATTATTAATGGCTACTAAGTTTAGTTTAGGACGTTACATGAGTAATTATTAATAGCTACTAAGTTTAGTTTAGGACGTTACATGATAGAATCAGCAAAGAAAAACTGTGCATAAATAATAATTAAAAGTTCGAAGGAAAAATAAATAAATAAATATAATAGTTGAGACAAATGAAGAATAAAAGGGATGTAACGAGTAACAGAATAATAATTTTAAAAAAAAGTATAATAATTTTAATTTCTTCAAGATTTCTTCTTGTAATAATTTTTAATATGACTGGTAGTAAAAAATATATAAACTAAAAATAATACAAATTATAAGTCGATCATCACGACATACGGTAAAATATAATTTTCTTTACTTTTCTATTTTTTGTTGCATCAGTTATCATTCAATTGCAAGCTATATTAATCTTTGTCTAAACGTATACTGACTAGAGTATGAGATCCCGTGAAAACGAGAATAACGGTAGAAAATTGGTTTACCTGTAATCAATTTAACTGAAAAGATATTTACAGTTTGAAAATATAATGCTTAAGTGTTACTTTTGTAACATTGAAGGAAAAATGAACACGCAGTAGGAAAATTCTGGGAAAAGATGAATATTTGATTTAGTAAGTGTGTGTGTCTATTTATCACTTCTGCAATTTAAAGAAATAGAAAAATTCTGGGAAAAGAAGAATATTTAAAACTTATTATTTCTGTTTTAGTATCTCCACCTAGTAAGATCTTCATGGTCATCAGAGACCAGTTTATTTCGTTCATTGCCTTCTTTCTCCACCATTAAGTCAGCGCCCTTTGGCCTCGAATCTTCACTTAAGGACACTGAGATTTATTTATAAATTTCGTGAGATCATATGTTTCTCGACCACATCTTTTTCATCGGCTCGTGTATCTTCGTAAATGAAAACTACCGTGTAAAATGAATTATAACTATTCATAGGAGATTTGTTATCACAATTATCATTTATTATCACCTACATTTATTACTATATTATAATTTGTACAGTTTAAGCCTTATTTATAATTATTATCTAATTATCATGTCTTTTCAATCTGATTTTTCTTTTGCTTTTATAATAATGAAATGTTTGTGAAACATTTTTGTGAGAAATGAAAAAGGCATTTGGATCTTTTTCAGGCAGAATAATACCGACGAGTCTCAAGTGTACTTCTCGTGTTTCGCTGCCATTTAACCAGACAAAACGATTGTTGAAGCGTTCACGACACAATGACTCACGAGGAAGTAAATACGGATGTTTTATTCTTAATTTATTCAACAATGTTCTGTTGCTTTTTACAATGGCACCTCTTAAAAAAAAAAAAAAAAAGAAAAAATAAAGGCAAGTTTATTATAAATAAAATTAAATATTTTTAATATATTAATACATTTTAAAATTTGAACTTCAAAACTTCGAAAAACTTTGAAAAAAATTCAAATCTTCATACGTTGTTAAAAAATTCAAAGTAGTTTGGATAATGAAACTCGAAACAATGAAATTCGATGTGTGATAACACATTCCATCTTCGTTCGTCAGTTTCCAAACTTTCAACTCATTTAGCAATTAAATTTTCACGAAGAAAATAGACTGTGTATTACAAACGCATCTGAACGAAAGCAATAATGGACTCTGCAAACTCAGCTTTTCTTCGATTCTTGGGATTATTTTCTCAACTTTTTCTATCGTTGAGATATCCAGGAATCAATTTCAGAAGCATTTTTCTTTGACGGTGTTAATTTCTCAGTAAAATCGATATTTAATGTCCAAGTTCAATATTTTTCAAATGAATTCTTAATTTATACTCAATGGATAATTGAAAACATATATTGAGATTTTGTAATCATTTGCAGTTGCATGTTATTCAATTAGCATGCAGCATTTAAAGAAGAAAATTATTCGTTCTTTTATCAATAAGAATAGAGACAGTCGGGTTAAGAAACCTCGATTTTTTGTTCATCCGATTTACCTTGCAAACAGCTACAATCTTCACAAATTGAACCGTTTATCGCAAATTTTGCAATCCATATATATTAGAACAGTTCACCTTTCAAATTGGACCTTGTAATCTTTCATCTTAAATCTTAGCTTTCTTCTCATATTTTAAATTCTACAAGAGTTTCAGGGTAATAACGAGCTGTGTTTACTACTGTTTTTGTATGACTAATTCATGAAATTAAAAGTTCATCCAACTTTCGTCAATTTGTAGGATAACGTATGACCGCGTGACGACCGAAGGACGCGTAACGTATACTTATGCATCGTTCAAGTCCATCAGTCATGGCCATCGCACGTCCATAATTTACAAAATAATTTTACATCATTTTTTCCTTATTTTATGGAATGAAAATAAAGATTAAAATATATGAAATGCAAATTATATGCAAAATCATATAAAATGTACAAAGAAAGATTTCTAGTAGATAAACATCTTAGTTTAAAAATAAATAATCTATATTTTGTGTAGATTTTTAAATAAATAAAATTTTATTGATCCAATTAAAATCATGAAGATTTAATACAATAGTATCACAAATAAATATTGTTACAATTGTTTTACGTGCTATAAAATTCTCACGTAATGAAATAAAAATCTCACGATAAATGTTATATAATTCTATATTGTTTGTTCGTTGTAGAATTTACAAAATGATATTAAAAGACGTCTCGCGGTTATGCATCTTTTATTTAATAGAAATTTGTATCTGGCAAACTCGTGAGAGATTGTCAATTCATCATCCATCATCTAATATAAATTTCTTTCATTTCTGTCTTATTGAAACTAATATTTCATTCATTTTTAATAATAGTAAAAAATACAAATAGCTAAAATCAAGTTTCTTTTTAAACACATAGCTTCATTTATTGCAATAAAAAAATAACTTTTAATTAAGGCAATAGTTTTTGATACTTAAGGGCTAAACTGTTCAAGGAAGGTCTTATTTTCGTGATACCAAGATCTATGGCATGACCAGTTAGAGGGCAGGTCTGACATCGCTTCTTTTTATTGCTTATGTTAAAATTGCCTCTCTCTTGACGAACGATATATCTAGGGAAATAATGAATTCGTTTTCGTTGCGTGGTGACACAAGGCGGCATTGTTACAACTAAGTCTTTCTTATGAATCCTTCCCACTGGTTCAGGGAACAATCTGTCATTTAGCACATACTGTTCCAGAGAACTGGAAGATTTAGATGATACTAAAGTATGGCTGGATCCATGGGTGTCGAAGTAATTTTGCTCGCGAAATTTTTCCAGTTCTCTCATTTCTTTATCAGAGAGGTATTTTCTGCCAGTTTCGTCTGGTAACTTGTTTATGCAAACTGTGTTTTGATACCTATCTGACTCAATGTAAGTGTCCTTTTCTAAAACAGGTTTAGAATGTTCTATTTTGTTTCTCTGACAACATTGACACTCCTTGTCAGGTACTGTTTTTTTATCCTTAGTTGCTACTTTTGAACTAGATTTAGACTTTTTTAGATCAGGTACGGGTGCCTTAGATGAAAGAGTTTTTTTTATCACAACTTTTGGCTTTGAATGTTTTTTTAAAGATACTTGAATTCCTTTGCTACATTTTTCTATAGCTTCAGAACCTGAACATTTTTCACTGATTTCTGACCTTGTAGGCATAGATTTTTCTAAGCGAAAACTAGTTTCTGATTTTTCATCACCAGCTTTCAACTGACACGTAGAATTAGCATTATATACGTTTCTTTTGGCCATGAGTTCGTGATAACAAGGTGATCTGTAACAGGTCTCTGGACAATCTCCTGCCGCTCCTTGCAAGAGAGAAACTCTGCTTCTGACATTGCGCAAAAATTGAGATCTAGGTGCATAATCTATCTTTTGAACTCTCCTCAATGTTTCACAACTAATGGGTGAAGATAATGCCGACTTTTCACAATTATCCTCTACCACTATAGCAGGAGTGAAAGTATGACTCTTGCATCTTTTGCTAGGAGAATGTGGCTTACGCTGTGTCTTTGTGGGTTTCAGTTGTGTTTTCTTAATTTCTGAATTACAGTAACATTCTTTTACTGGTTTTCTACGAATGTTTTCCAAACAGGCCTGATTTTCACAATGTTTCTTTGACGATACTAATATTCTCTTTGCTGTTGATGTATTAGGCATTGATGCTGATGTCTGATGGCAATCACAAAAACAATCTGATTTTAAGGCTTCACCAACTCCACTGGAATCATTTCTTAATTTCCATGATTTGATGTCTTTTTTGCAAGATGAATGTGACACATTTGTCTTGCCAATATGATTTTTAAAGTCATTTCTGAATGATCTGTATTAAAAAATCAGACTATTGTTATGTGAAATATGTACTGAAAAATCAGACTATTGTTATGTGAAATATGTACTGAAAAGTCAGACTATTGTTATGTGAAATATTGCGTGAAATACTCACAAATTTCTGGAGTATAATTTCTTAATTTCGTCTTTAACTTTTCTAGAATTCTTATCTACTTGCGCCAATAAATGTCTACTTCGTTTACGCAAAATCTCTATACGTTCGTTGAAGTTCTCACCCATATGATTACGATGTATGTATGTATCTGTTAATTAAACAAAAATTTTTAATCGATATCAGAAAGTTCATTTTCACAAAGAATTTATAAGTATTGTGCAGTACTGTTTTTATGGCTTTTTTTTTATGTACGATAAAATATTTTCTCTAACATTCTCGAAGGTGAACTAACAAACAATAATAAATCAAAAAAATCGAATATAATTGTTAAAATTTCTGAATCACTTACGTTCAATTTCTTCTCAGGAATTACGCTTTTTTGACTTCTTTACATCTTCGACTTTCCCAAATTGTCAATAATACAATCGCGTTCCGACTTCAAAACATCGTGACAAAAATGTTTATTTTTATTTCATCAATTGAAGTTTACCAAGCGTCCACTATAAACAGAAAGACGCGATCAGGCCTACCACAGTAATAAAAACTATTTTTTTCTCTATAAATTTTTTTCAAATTAAATAAAAACCATCCAGCGTTTCATACGGATTCTTTGAAAAACGTGAATTTTCTTCAATTATGGAAATGTAAATGCGCTCTAAATACGTTTTAGAGGTTAATTTTCGCTGTTCGAAGGATACAGTGGGATTTTGGAAATAGTACTTTAGTGCAGCCATGTTGGAGCGACGCGTAGGACGCGGCGTACGTTATAATGTCCCGTCGCTCAAGTACTTTTTAATTTAATTAATCACCTTCTGTTTTCTGTCGATGTTTCGTCTCGATGTTTGTCCACGTATCCGCATGACGTGCGAAATATGAAACTGAACACGTAGTCACAACTGAATTGTTGATTCCTCGATCGCGGTGAGACATCCATATTATAGGTTATAAACGCTCGCATGTTTTAATCGAAAACGCGCGTATCTTTAGCGTCCATTCGCGGCAAAATGGATTTCTCCGGGAACAACGCGGTCCACGGTGCGCTCCCGCAATTTTCTGAATTGACATCTCGACCGAGCACAGTTCCCACGCCAAAATTCACCAGCAGTGACAATAATCAAGCAGAGCAAACCATTGTTTATACGACCGCCGCTGGTTCAAATCAGACAAAACAAAATTTATTGGTAAGTTTTACCTTAAGTTCGTATCATAATTTTCCTGCTTAATTTTCTGATTTGTTTCTTTTTTTTTCCCAAGGTGAATTCAACGAACAAGTACACAGGGCCAATATTAGCATGGCCAGACCCTAATACCTTGATGCAGTTTTGTGAAAAGCAAGGCATTCAGACAATTAACATTCCTAATTACAATCAGAACAATCCGATACTTAGTGTCCAATCGAACAGCCTACCAGTAAGGATTATACCTAATATGTATTTGCCATCAACCTCGCAGGCAGAGGTTGTGAAACAAGACTTGGATTCAAGAATCGAAAATGAAAAGCAAACGTCTGTAATGGTATAGAACTCTTCTAATTAGCTAATAGTATATCTGTTGAGAGATGTGTATCTTCACATAGTAAGAAAATTAATATTTCAGCAAGATTCTCAACTTCAGCAACAAAGTGCCATGACGGAATATTTTCAAAAGTTGCAAGCTACCACTCTTCCACTGACACTGCAACAATTGATCAAACTGCAAACGGAGCAGGTGAAAAAAGAGAAGACTGAGGAGGAAAAAGCGGAGCACACGCAGAACAATATTCTCAACATTCCTAGTGTTCCAGTATTCAGAAATATTCAAGTACAGAATGGAAACAACAGTTTCATCAATTCAGATCAAATGATGGTATCTATAAATCCAAACGATCTGAATATTCAAGTAGAGAATCAGCAAGAAAATGAAAATGCAGTACAGACTGTTAAGGTAGAGCAGCAGATACAAACTGACTCGCCAAAAATCGAAAAAAAGATGAAATTCCGGGCGAAAACCGGGGAGATAAAAATTAGCGTTGCTTTGGATGGTTCGACGCTCTACTGTTGTCCTGAGTGTAACTTGGCATTTCCGGATAAAACAGAAATTGAGCAACATATACAAGCTCACATACAGGTACATGTTAAATTATTTCAATATTTTTAATTGTTGAAATAAATGTATTAAATCAACACAAACTTTATTTTACAGGAACGTAAATACCAATGTAAAGAATGTGGTGCCATGCTGAAACGAAAGGAGCATCTCGATCAACACATGCGTGGTCATTCGGACGAGAGGCCATTCAAGTGTCCAGTGTGTCAAAAAGCGTTCAAAAGGAACGAACACTTGACGAGGCATTACGTTATTCATTCTGGAGATAAGAATTTTTCGTGTTCGGTGTGCCAGAAAGCCTTCTCTAGGAAAGACCACCTGAACAAACATACTCAAACGCATCTAGGAATTAGAAGGAATAGAACGAAGAAAGATTCGTTTTTCATCGAGCAAAAGGATCCTTTTGAGAAAGCTCCTGAAGTTTCCACGATGCCTAAACAGGAAGTGAGCTTCGTCTTGAAAGACGGAGGTTTCATGAAGCAAGAGCCTAATTTCCTGCAGTATATACAGAACCTCCAAAAGGATCAGAATCTGATCCATACGTTCTCGTCGTTCAAGGAACAAGTGATGAAGGAGGCAAATGTGCTGCAACAACAAGCAGTAAACATGAACGAGATTCTGCCTCAGAATACAAGGTACTTAATGCCGTCTTAGTCGTAAATAAGCTCTTTTAAATTCAAAGCAATAAAGGCTGTTCATGTAGGGGCGTCGGGGTTTAGCACAAAATAGAAAATTGATTAGGCGTATTCTTAGGAATTGGAACGCATTATAGTCATATTGTGGAATTTTTGGAAAAAGGAGCGGCACTAGGAGACTAAGGTGCAATTAGTAAATGAATAGTCATCGATAATGAATTTTCATGAATGTAATAGTCATGAATGTTGGTGGTGATCAATTATCAAACTCTAACTAGAGTCTCAATGAACTTGGAACATAGTCTTTTTTTGTGAGAAGTATTTTATATTCATACTTTCAGCGGACGTATTATGAAGTTCCATAGTCAAGTATTTCATTTGCATGAAATAGTGACACTTAATGATAGTCTGCCACAAAGCCCGAATGAGTCTAATAATAAAAGCCTAGATAAACTAAAAACAAGCATACCAACACGCAAATTGAAACGAAATGAACAACCTGCGTAAAAGCACACTGTATTTTATTTAAACTAGTTTTAAAGACAGTAATCTTTTTATTGATTCTAGTCTATGATCACAGAAAGCATGGCAAATGTAGGTCACCGAACTTGAATTTTTTATTGTCACTTGCAAATTGTTCTTCTCTTTTCCAATGAATTCGAGTTCCGTTTGTGACCTAGAATGAAGTATGGTTAAAGTAACTCGCAATTTACTGTTAGGTTAACTTAACGAGTACCAATAGCAAATAATAGCATACTGCCAATAATTATGGTTACAAAAATTTGTAGAATAATTGTATATATAAGTGCTATACAAATTTGACCTGATGGAGACTCAGTGGTATATTGTTTGATCTCTGATTCGTCCGTGTCCATCTTTGACAAGTATCTATGTAATAATATAACTCATTTTATAGCAATTATAATTACAATCACTTTTATTTTTTCTTTTTTCAATTTTCTCGAATTGAACAAACAGATATATTATCTATGCGTATGATTTTTTATCGATTTCTAGTGAAAAGATATTTGTAGTATATAATTACTTTTATTTTCTTTTTTTTTACAAACTAATTTTTAAGGCAAAAGCAATAGGAATTTTTAATTGAAAAGTGGAAGTATATTTATAAAACAATTTTTCGTTCGTATTTTTTTCTTTCTTTTTTGTAATAGTTTTGAGAAGTGATGTTAAGAGAAAGAAAGATTACTTTGCTCAATATTTGCAAGATGACTCGAAGGTCTTTTGTTTTCTTGTACCAAAGATTATTCACTTGAGTAGTACTTTCTGACGAAAAACTTTTTTT